TCTTCCGTCTCACCTGCTCGCGAGCCGGGCGTGCGCAGCGCGTGCCTGCAGCCGAGAATTCACGTCGGAATCACCATCGCACACACGTTCGGCCGCGATAAAAAAAGTGGAAGAATGCCCTTCGGATCCCCGTGCGTATACTGGGTGTCACGCATGCACGCGCGAGAACGAGAGCGCGCGAGCGCGCGCGCGCCCTTCGGGTGGCACGGGCGAGATGATGCGCGCACACACACACGCACACCGCCACATGTCGTTCCGTACCGACACGATACACGCATATATACACGCACGCATAATGCGCGTGTACGCACGGTGGTGGCCCGACGCACTCCACCCTGTCAGCCGCCTGTCGTCGCCGTGAAAACAAAGACGGAGATTCGTACGAGCCGGTGAGAGAAACGGAGAGAGAACGTGAGAGAAGAAAGAGGCGAGAATGGTAGAGAAATAGGAAAAAAAAAGCCAACGGGAATCGAGAGGAGCGGGATTCTAGGGCGATTGTCGAATTAGTGAGTCGACCGATCCACAAGAGGCTCTTTTTTTCCCTGTTACCGAAAATATCTCTTTTTTTTTTTTTTTCTTTCAAAAGCCGCGCGTTTATTTGCGTTTGCAGATGCGACGAAGAAACGCACGTCGACGCCGGATTCTGCAGAATGACGAGCAGATGATTCATTGCGTTCATTTTTAATTGATTATTATTATCTATATTATTAGTTTGTCTATTTATATGAGATATGATAATACGAAAAAAATTATATCTTTGCTAAAATTGAGGCAATGTTTAGTTATTTACGAATCAAATCGTTCTCATCGATGATGATGTTCGGATCATATCGAACGAACAATCGATCGAGAATGCTTGGCCCTTTTTTTTGTTCGATGAATGTCGTACGTTCTAGGATTTATCGGGCGAGGGGTGGCAAAGAGGCGGGATACCCGAAGAGAGTGCACGAGTACGATGCGAAAATACTTTCGCATACAAACCTGACAAAATATTGTGAAAAACCACGCAGGCAAACAACTCAGCTCTATGTGACTCGCGAGGGGCGCGAAATGGAATCATCTCGTTTTATACGCTTTAAATCATATTGAAATAACCATTAGGCTGTACTAGAAAATCCACTCCCCCGTCTAACAATTCCCGCAAACATTTGTTCGAAATTAAAAGAATGACCAGACTTTATTATCTATAAAGCGTAATATTTTTACTATCGGTGTTTCTTGACGATAAGCCTTTGATATTCATTTGCTTTCAACTATTTTATAAAGATATCAAATTTATGAAATAGTATAAAGATACAATTAAGATATTAATTGGCAAGGAAAATATTAGTTTGTAAATGTAATTAATTAAATTTAACTAATTATGTGATTAACTTAATCGTTGACTTTAATTTCTTTTTTGATGAAATTGTCTTAATGTTTGATAAAGAATACTATCATATCTGAACAATTTTTATTTCACTTTGTATATTTCGTTTATTATTTCATGTAGACTATTAATTATTATTAATCTCTCTACGTTATCGAAACTAATAATAACCGGAACAAAATTCGCATTCAGTGAACGAGCTTCAATAGGGTATCTTTTATCGACACGGAGATAATTTGCTTACAATGGGCGTATTATTAGCAATCATTACAATTTAACCCTTCACGCTTAGGCAAAAGAGCCGAGCTCTTTCCCGGCAGGCTGTTATTGTATCTAGAATGAGGTCTTTAACTTTTTCGTATACCTATTCTCCATTTCATATTTGCACTATTACGGTACAGCTGGTGGGAGGGCAGCAAGAGAGTTATAACGAATGAAATGCAATACCATCTTGCTTTTGTATATCTTGCATTTTGTTTGTATTTACGAAAAAAATAAATAATTAAAAATATTAATATCAATATAATAATTTTTTTCTCAAATAAATTTGATAGTTTATTTAAAAAAAGAATAGAGAAAACAGGCTGGAAGATGATTTATTATGCCTTTCTACATATCGTGCGCGACGGATAAGAATTGTTTATTTCCGAACATAAATAAAAATTATAGTTTGTCTTTTTTTGCCTTTCAGTCAAAGTTTTTCAAATGTTCATTTTCAAATCTTTTCTTTCATCAGGTTTTGTTATGCAACTGTGATTGATAAATGCGTACCTATAATATAAATAATGTAAAATATGGCTGAAAAGTTGCTTAACTAAAAGGTTGAAAAATAATACCATATGAAATGAGATGACACAAAAGACTTAAAAAAAGGTTTGAAAAGAACGACGCATTATCCTTTAAAATATTACTTAAAAAGTGATCTACACCTATATATTTAGCAGGCTATAAAAGAATAAAAATGTTTTTGGTACAAAAATATATACAAGGTGTACCGTAAATCGTACAAGTAAAATGGGGGTGATTCTTCGTATGAAACGAATAAAAAATATTAAACAAAAGTTTTTTATATGTCATACAAAAGCTAAGTTTATTTCAAAGAAAATTATTTTTCAAGATTCGTTATAATATTGGTATATTATAAATATATCACGTAAAAATTTAAAGGGACCTTGATATGCCATAAATTTATATTCCGTGAAATGTGAAAATTAATCCGTTCTTTTATTATTTGACTACACACTGATTATAAAATGTGAAAAAATTCTTTTACACTCTAAACATAAAAGACAGAAAGCTATTAAAGGAATGTTATACAAAACTATAAAAAAAAGGTCAAAGTCGTTCTTTTAAATTATTAATGTAGTTGAGATAAGTTTGTTGAAAGTATCACTTTCTTTTATTTGGTGAGCTAGAAGGAATAAGTAATCTGTATTATTATAAAACCAAAGTCTATCTCTGATAAGATATCTGAATTGTTCTCAATGTTTAAATATATATTTTTTTAATATTTA